ACGGCAGTTTCGTAACTTTTGTAATACCACAAATCCAATGTAATCTCATACAATCTCGGAAACTCTCTCTTTAAAGGTATCGAAGACACGAATCACCTTACCGAAATTAGTTTTACATCATTAAATAAGATCAATACTGTTTGAATTTTCAGCAGAAATCCAATAAGACGACATTCCTTTACTAAATGGTTTTTCTATCGTTCGATTTTAAAACACTTCTTTAAATAAAAAATCAGCAATTGAATAATAATCGAGCATAAAAGCCAAATTGTATTAAATATCATAAATTGTCTACAAAAAATTGAAATTATGCTCAGCAGCCTTTAGAACAGACTAAACATATATATCGTAATATTATATTTTATCAATTTTCCATTCTCAATGCTATCTTGGAAAATATTCTTAATGAAAAATGCTTGAAAATCCACCAACACCAGGTCCTATCTCAGTGAACAGGGTAAAAATTCACCGTGACGTAAATTTTCGAAATGAAAGAAAGTAGTTTCAGAATCTACTCGATGTAAACAAACGATGAAATCTTTTTAGTATTGAATATTCATATTAGCATAGACAAGTCAATGATTCGTTTCTAAAATGCTCTAGTCATTCATTATTATTTTGTTGTTTCCTTTAAAATAAGAATCATCTGTCATCAGCTATTAACCAACTAACCCACTATAATTTCTATAAATGAAAACGCTTGTTGTATACAAGTGTTTTCATATTATCCGAACAAAACAATTGGCAACATTTCGCGCGTTTCGCACACGTTAATAAATAAAGTTATTGCAATATTTTTGAGGCAAGTAAAAATAAATTACAGAAACCAGATGTTTGGTTGTATAATTATTTGTTGTATAAAAATTGTTAATGATCAAGGAAACTGGGATACAAGGATACTGGGAAAAATCCTACAGGAAACATAAGCTATTTTTTTTCTGTGTTTTTTTTCTCATATCTTCGCTTTGACTCGTTACTCATATAGCATATTATTTTCCTGTGACTATATAAAGTTTGAAAGTGATAAGTTATACAATTTTTAAACAATTATTTTTACTTATTTTTTGCTTTGCTTATTAATAACCTCATTGCGTTTTTAAATTACCGCGATTTCAGTATATTGTGTTAGTAGTATTCATTACAACACTAGCCTTAGAACTATCACAATGTCTGCTAAAGAGCCTTTCTGCCTTCGGAAGCGTCTTTCATGTGCTTTCATTGTTATGAAGCTTTTGTTCTCCGCGACCGTATTGATATTACCACTCGACCGATATTCATGCGACCGTCACGTGTACATCATCTCGTTTGATATTGTGGCACAGAGTAGCATCACTATTATTGAGTGCATAGATAAAACACAGATAATAGAATAAAAGGGCCTACTCTGAAAACTATGTAAGAACGCATTCATTGTTCCAATTATAAAAAAAATTATAAAATAGGCCATTTAATTTAATTTTTGTTTGATTACGCAGTAAGTTTCGGAGTTGGGATTATTTAATTATAAATTAATATTAATGTTTTTAACTATAAATTACGATAGTCTAATTTTCTGTGAAAAACAAAGTAAACAGCGTCGAAACACAGCACTGTCGCAACATTGGAATAAATAAAACCATCAATCAAATTAAACCTTTATATTTTAATTAGCTTTTAAAGTAGGTTTTTTGGTTGAACCTCGGATGCTGTGACTTGTTAACATAATTTTATTCTGTTTGAAGTAATTAGATACTTCCGCATAACACTTTCACACACACTATTTTAACCAACATTCAACATACTTATAAAATAATAAACATGACTTATAAGTTCGTTAGCAGATATTAATATTAGTATTAGTGTTATGGCTGCTGGCGCAGTTATGACAACTTTTTTTTGATTTATCAGTTTGCAATTACAAAATTTAAGCAATTTACATAAAAATCGATCTAAAAATGAATGATCAAAATTTTGCTGACTACAGCATCCACCATTCCGGTGACCATTGTTCGTACTCCCTCTGTTTTGCGCTAAGGAGATGGACCATGCATGCTCCTTCGATGGAGACATTCCTGAGTATGATGATAATGAAAAACGGTTCTTTGTAAGGTATTAGAGATAAAAATATATTTTAAGAAAGTGCTGATAAAAAATTATTTCAAGATATAAGCTCGATAATATTTGAGTAAACAAAATTGTCCGGCTCCACAATTCTCCAGCCGAACAGCCAGTTAGGTTAACGTCTATTGAACTTTGACACCGCATGCGATAAGTGCACACAATGCAGTCGACATGTTTGTAGCTCAGTTTTCACCGTAATCGACATAATGATTCATTGCAATCTAGAATATTCACTTTTACATGCCAGGGGCTTTGCAGAATTGAACAAATTTCCAAAAAATTTCCTGTAAACGAAATTATTTATTATATAAACTCAAATAAAAGTTAAACGCTGATAACAAAAAATAAATAGGTATTTTCTATATCAGCGGTTTTATAACACTTTCAGAGATAACGAACATCTATTTATACTGTTTATTAATACTGAATTACATAGACATATATTTTATTTAAACTCCGATCATTTGCCATAATATGACCTATATTTTCCTAGATCTCTTGTAAATATGCTTTGCAGAAGGGTGCTTTAAAAAACAGAAACACTGTTCTGTATAAATGTGGAACGAACAAAGTACTACTCATGAGATAAAGTTATTGACATATTTTATAAATTATACTAATTAATTTATTTCATAATTTTTTCATCTCGGTAATATAGTTAATTTTGATGTACGGGGAGTTTCCGTCTTAGTAGTTATTAAAAAGTTCAGAGGTTTCATTTGCCCGAGATGGGAACCGGTAACCTTTCGTTAACCAGGCAACTGCTTCATCAATTAAGCTGTATCAAAACCGTAGTGAAAATATCTGGAGCACCAAAGATGAGTCTCAAATACTGCATAATAAGAGGACTTTCGCTACTTATCTCTTATCTCGGAACCTGACCAATGAATGTGTGATGATGTCTAATATTTAACGATGTGCATAATCAATTAAATTAATGCTTGTCAAATTTGTTTTTCTTCCTTGCGTTATTATCGGATGTGAATTCTTGTAGTTTCCTTTTATCTTATTAACTCAGTAATAGAAAGAAAACATGACGATGACATAAATAAAACTAAGAGGAGGAGCACAACACAAAGTCTTAAATGGTTAATGAAGAACCAAAAATAGCTTCCTAATAAAATGTGGTTTATTATAAACTACTAGCTCTTATATAGCTTTTATAATTAGATTATCCACGATACTAAAATGGCAGGTCTATTTTTATTACACACTTTTAAAATAACAATTTGCCCCAAATTTACTCACTTGCAATGACTCGATTTTTTACTATCATTGTTATGTAATAACAAATTTATAGATCGCCTGCGTCAACAAGTAATTTATCAACATGAATTACGGTGTAAGATGCTAAAAATCAAACGATAATCCGTTGGTATTTTTGGAGTTATTTTTACATTCATACATATTAACGTTTTGTTCTGGTTAGAATCTTCGTTTTCGCATTGCTCATTATTTTTGTAAACGAATTTGAGCTTATTACTGTAATGACTCGGAGCTTGCTAAAGAACTGAAATCTGTATTTGAATGTTACAAAGATAATTTTGATTTTTTTCATAAAACCTTGTTTTAAGTGTTTTATTTTTCTATAAGTTTATCGTAATCTTCTTTCCGAACCCTTTCATTTGATACCCATATTATGTGACTACCGCGCGATTTATGTTAGATATTAGATTTGGATTGATGTAATTTCATTATTTTCACATTTTTTTAAAAACCCTGTGATGGATTTTTAAATAATGTAACTTAGATAACCATGGATTTTAATCATAAACTTTTTATGCCAAATATCAGTGTTAGTACAGGATAAATGCTTTAAAAATCTGTTGCAAGATTTAGCATTCATTGAAACTTCATTAAATGCTTGTCAAAAGGATATTTTACTTTATATATAAGGGATGTATTAAAAAGATTCCAAAATGCACGATATGAATGAAAACTAAACAAACGCAGTTCAGAGTCGATATAAGTATGCTCCATTACGAAACTTAGTTTTGGCCTCAATCTGTTGAACTTTATTAGGTAATAATTAATTCATGTGGGTAGTTTAACTTTATCAATTAGTAAGTTAGACAATGGTTTGGGGTGGTCTGTGTCCTCAAAAATTTCATTAGAAGTTTTCCCAATTTAGTTTACTGAATTACCTAATTACCATTTGAGGTTTACAATGAACAGTATATAAGCCTATGTAATTCGTATTATCTCTTTCATTCGATAAAAAGTGGAAGCGTTAAATAAGTTAAATAAGGCAAGGGCAGTTCCGAAAGGGGGTCATGTTGGTCGCTTTTAGGTAATTATTATAATGTAAATAAATAAATTAAATAAAACACAGCTATTTGAAGATAAGACAGTTATTTTTACGCTATCAAAAAGCATATTCTCCTTATCCCAACCTGATTTGGAAGCTGGACCCGCCTTTACCTAGATGACATTCTTTATGAAAAAAAGCCCCAAAAAATCTTATACCTACTTACAATTTTTTTTTTTACATGACAACAGTATATTTATAGAAAAAGGATTTAAGGATAAAAATGAGACCCTATTACTAAGATTCCACTGTCCGTCCATCGGTCACCAGGCTAAATCTCATATACTGTAATAGCTAGACAGTTGACCACACATGACTATTGGTGCTAAAAGCACTAAAAATAGATAATGGTACGGAGCCATTCGTGCGCGAGTCCGACTCGTACTCATTTTCATTTATATATAAAACGGCCAGTATTTTCTTTTAATATTTTTATATAGACATGACATAACTGAAGCCGCTCAATCTTTTGACGCAACTTTTCTGTCTGGCTTCAAGCAATTTGACCAAAGATATCATATTTATCTCTTGTCAATCACCGATACAGTCACCGCGATTCATTTATCAACATGTTTTTTTTTTTATTTTCCAGCCGATGGCCTGACCTATTCGTTCGGTATATTCTATGCGGAATTCCTGACCTACTTTGAAGAGGGCAAAGGCAAGACTGCTTTGATCGTCTCCATCCTTGTAGGTGTCACGCTGAGCGCAGGTAATAAATAATGTATTATGATATGACTTTTAATAATTTACTAACTTCGTTGCCTATGGTTTTAACGTAAAGATTTGGTAAAATAAATAGTATTTATATATACTATATAAGAGCCGGAAGTTTTTATTTTTTAACGAAGTAAATACCAATTAAATGTCAAATCATACGGCACAAAAAGTAGATAACAAACTTATTGAGTGTATTGAAGGAAGCATTTCTATCGTTATAAAGGATAAATTAGAGTAGTAATAATAATAGTAGTTCGGTGGCGTAGTGGATAAGCGCCGCGGCCCGCGATCATTGTTGTTAAGCAACTTTCGCAAAGGTCGGTCACGGGATGTGTGATCAAAATTATTAACTCTAGCTACCCCGTGTCTCGAAAGGCACGTTAAGTCGTTGGTCCCGGCTGCAGTTGTTAAGCATTGAGCCAGCGTTGGGGGTCATGACCCATGCTCCTTAATCATTTATAAGGAAAACCTGAGGCCCTCCAGTGGGGACGTAAAAAGGCTAATGATGATATAGATGAATAATAACACAATTGGATTACATTATCATATCAATGTAATCAAAACATATCACATAATAATACAATTAGGGCCTTATTGCCCAAACCTTTTTCATCAAATGGGTTATGATATAGGTAGGTAAAGAAGGAGGAATATTACATTTATACAATATTTGTGTTATTACAACATATTAAACATGACAAACAATCTTATATTTTTATAGTTAAAATTGTGATAATATGTAAAAATGTATGAATGTGATAATACATCATGTGACTATTTAACAAACTGTCAACTTTTTAATATATGTATACAGTGCTTCTGATTTATTTGACATCAAAATGTGTGACTCTTGTTATTGTTTGTTTTGTTTTACCTTGTCCTCGTTAAATTTAGAATAGTATTGTGTTTCTTTTGTAAATAAATGCAACTAAAATAAGAGAAATGTAATTTACCTACAATTAATAATGTAACGAAATCATTATTTACACTATATGACATTCACCAGAAATCACCATTTTAACCTAGTACTAGTAAGGCATACTGTTCATAGTAGTAGTTTCTAATATTATGTTTCGAGGAAAACTGCTCATAACAAATTCTAGACAGGTACTGGCACGGCATGAATGTTTATTTAAAATGCGGGAGTTTTGTTTAAGTTGTCGATATTAACCGATTTGAATAGAAATTTCTTTTTTAATCGACTCCAAAGAAAAGAAGGTTCTCAATTCGACCGTTTGTTTTTTTTTGTGTTTGTTACAAAATTATTTTTTAGTCAACAGTTTAATGTGCCGAGGTCCTAGATAAATTTTATCGAAAATGAATCAGTAGTTTTCTAGTAGAGAAAAGGCATATTTTGTATTATAACAATACAAAATATGCGTTTTCTCAGATATCACCTAAATATGTTGATGTCATGTTTATATCAACGAAAAAAAACAAAAGATTCCTATTTTCATAACGAGTTTGAAGAATATACTCTTTGTAGATTTTATATTAAGTTTTGAAGTCAGATAAAGAAAAGTTGTCTTATATACTTTAACTCTTTGGTGGTCTTGATTGCGCCCGTTCCACGTATTACTTTAACTGTTCTCAAGTTTCTCTATTAAATTATACTACCGATAGTATATATATTATATTTTATGGTTCTTTCGTGATTACATCGTGCAAATAAATAAAATTAATAGGCATTTCGTTGTAAATTTAATTTCTTTTATAGATATTTAATATTTTCGTGATACCTATACAAAATATGTTTAACCCATCCCGTGACCGACCCTTGCGAAAGTTGCTTAACGACAACGATCGCGGGCCGCAGCGCTTATCCACTACGCCACCGAGCTATTTACTATTACTATTATTTACTATTAATTTAATAAAACAATTCTAGGAAAGAATAAGAGCCTTTTTCATTTTTTATCAAATACATTAAACTTAACTGAAGGTAATTTATTACAAATAATGATAATTTATTCTTTATGAAAATGCTTAAAAAATCCACCATCCCCAGGTACACGTACAGCAATATGAATGCAAAATTGATAAAATTTAATAATAGTAAGATTTTAAAGAAGTAAGTCGAAAATGTCTTTATTAGTCTCAAATCAACAGCAGCTCCATTGACGACAACGATTTTCGGCCTCGTCTAGTTCCAATTAATAGAATTCCAATTACTCGTGATCACTACGACTTAAACTAACTTGTTCATTTTCGACTCAACGATGAGCAGTCACAGAATGTATAGACCGCAGTTAAATTTTTGAATAGTTAACTTTAATCCCATTAAAGTAACCTATAAGATTTGAGTATGGTGTATGATTAAAACGTTGGAGTCGGTATCTTTATCATTATCTAATATTACTTTTACTAAATAGAATTGACTTACAAACGTGTTTTTTTTAAGTTAATTGTTTGTACTTGTTATCGGATTAAGAACTTACCGGTTCGGCCAATGTAGTTAAAATGTTTCTTAAATGGTTTTATTTAGCTTGCCCCATTCTTTCTACATTTTCTGAGTCTGCTATTTGTACCTTGTTTTAGATAAGAGCTTTAACTTCTTATTTTGGAACTTAGGTAATGTAAGTGATATTGTCTGATATTATATATATATTTTCCAGGTCCAGTGTCGAGCTCATTCGTAAACCGTTGGGGATGTCAGCGTGTAACAGTGGCGGGGGCCCTGTTAGCTTCGGTGTGCGTCATTGTATCAGCGTTCGCTACAAATATACTCACACTTATATTCACCATCGGCATCGGCGCCGGCTTTGGCTTCGGTCTCATCTACCTACCTGCCATTGTCAGCGTCACTGTCTGGTTTGAACGATACAGGAGCTTAGCCACTGGTAGGTACGGAATATATAACAATAGTATTGAAAAGATTCCTCTGATTCACAAGAGATTTTATAAGATCAGTGATTTTTATAACCTATTCAATTACTTTTTTTCAGGAATTGCAGTATGCGGATCAGGGTTAGGAACCTTCCTTTTTGCACCACTTACATCTGCGTTAGTCGCAGAATACGGCTGGAGAGGAGCGATGACTATCATCGGTGCTTTAGTCCTAAACTGTGTACCATTGGGGCTTATGTTTCGACCTGTACCTGAGCGTCCGATAACGCCAACCACGGAACGAATGCTTGTTAATCCGAATAATACTCCTTTAAAAAGATCGCAAAGTACAGAGCATGTTATTCGTGCGAACGGGAAAATTGAAGAGCGTGATACGGCAAGACTAACGTTATCTCAACCTGCACTGAACAAGCAACAGGAAAAACACAACTTCGTCAGATCGCATTCCCGTCACGGAAGTGGCATAATGCAAAGGCCAGATGTTCTTTATCAAGGGAGCATGACTAGCATAGCAAAGTTCAGAGCACCTTCCCCAGATAGAATCACAATAGCAAAAGAGGAAAAAGAAACGAGATGTGGATGGCTACCATGCTCAGCGGAATCAAAAGCCGCATTATCAGAAATGCTCGATCTTTCGCTACTAGTAGACCCTATATTTATATTATTTTCGTTATCTAATTTCTTAACTAGTATAGGCTTCTACATTCCATACATATACACAGTGCCTATGAGCGAAAAGTTGGAAGTAACAAACTCGGCCTATTTGATATCTATAATAGGAGGTGCGAATTTAATTGGGAGGATAATTCTAGGTTTCATCAGTGACAAACCATGGGTGAACCGTTTGCTTGCTTACAATATGTGTCTTACAATTGCAGGCATAAGTAAGTATCATAGATCGCCTATTCTCATCTGATATATTGCTCTGGGTAGACTGTCACCACACTACCGAACATTTAGCTTGCATTTTCAATAATATCCATTAAATTATTTGATATATTATTGTAGAGCAGTCTTTGAGGTTCGGGATTCCATTCTCGGTTAGGTGAATATAGATACGGAACTTTTCTATATTGTCTCAAGTCTGACAATTACTACTACTTCAATGTTTCAGATTTCTTGGATAGATACTTAATTTAGAATCTGAGCAGTGTATGTGATGACGCCTAATATTAATTATACAGAATAGAATAGAATTGACTTTATTGCACACTTATAGGATCACAAGAAATAAAAACATGTCAAAGAAAATACAAGTGCAAATGGCGTACTTATCGCTATTGATTTAATATAGATATTGCTATTAATATGATATGATGATATGTGTAATTAAGCCATTACCGTTTATATATCTTTTATATGTAATTAACTTTCGCCTTCACCTGCGTGGTCCTGGTTCGCGGTGGTTTCTCTTGAATCACTCTATATATTTATGAAAACTGCATTAAAATTTGTTGTATGGTTTAAAAAATATCAGCGTACAGACGGCGGGAATCTACATATAGTGGGCAAAACGTTGAATTGGGCCGATCAACATTTGCCCGTGCCTATCGCGATGTATCGCCATTTCTTGATTTGGCCAGGAAATTCACATTCGGCCCGGTTAAAAGTTTTTCAGATCAACGATTGCGACGTATTTGTCAATTTGCTCCATTTTATTGTTTAAATAAATTATTATTATTTAAAATTCATTTTATTTGCTTACACACAGAGATGCGGCGGTAGGAGAAGACCCGAGTTGTTGCCCATCTCTATTTACATAGGACTTTGGTCACCCTACAAAATCGATTGGCCCGAGTATATTCAGGCAAATCATCAAACGTTAAACATTGAACGGTATGACGAATGATAGATGAACAAATCAAGAAATGGCGGCAAATCTCGATGGGCCCAATTCAACGACTGGCCCACGACATATAGATTACAGACAAAAGGCATTTGATATATCTCAGCCCTTAAGCTTTAAAAATGCTTAGATTTCGAATTATTGGATAATCACTAGCAAAAATCGATTAGCTACATAAAACTAACTAAGTCAATTTTCAGGTACAGCTATGGCGACGTTTTGTTGGGAATTCTGGGGCCTAGCGATGTACGCGACGGTATTTGGCTTCACTATCGGCGCATACGTGGGTCTTACTTCCGTGGTGCTGGTAGATCTGCTGGGATTGGAGAAGCTGACCAATGCTTTCGGGCTGTTGTTGCTTTTCCAAGGCATTGCTTCCCTCATCGGACCTCCATTTGCTGGTCAGTAATCATCTTCCATATGGATGGATATTAACCAAATAGAATAGGGAGAATGGGCCGTTGAACCCCATATAAACCAAATGTGAATTGATGGGTATTAACGACTGCAGATGCAGCGGGAACTAAGAGCTTAACGTGCCTTCCAAAGCCATAGAGCTCGAGAAAGTAAATATTTGGTCACCCATCCTATGACCGGCCATTTCGAAAGTTGTTAAGCAACAACCGTATCGCAGACTGAGCATGCCATCATTGCGACTCGAGCTTCTCGTGGTTAATAATAAATATATTTACATTATTATAAGCCAGGGTCTAAAAATGCAGTAATATTTTATTTTACTTACTTTATTTGGGTTAGCAAACTGTTTACACTATATGAACCTATCACTAGGGTTAAGATATTAGTACAATCATTGTGAAACTCACACCACTATCCACGGATTGATTAATATGTTAATAATTATGCTTAATTACAATAATTATTATTCAATTTTCATACATTAAATTCAATATTTAATAATTACAACAAATGATAATCATTGATAATGTTATATAATAATTTCCAGTATTCAATAAACAAATTACTATAATATGAGTTCCAATTCTAAGTAACTCTCCGTTTAAGTTCGAGGTTTTCTTTAATTATTGATTCTCTTGCCCTTATCTACTTTCAAACATCCGTTCCCAACACGAATTACTTATATTTTTCTATTAATCGAGCCAACATTCTATGACATTTACATTCACATTTTATCTTTCGTTCCTTTTGTGCCAGGTTGGCTGTATGACGCGTTAAGCTCATACGCACCAGCATTCTACGTCGCCGGCGTCACTATATCTTTGAGCGGTCTCATCCTCTTTTTCATCCCCATCATCGAGCGACGGAATAGGCGTCGATGGAACACGGAAACCGCCCTCGAGAATATATAGCACCAACCGAACGAGGGAGGGACCGATCATCTAATAAGTGGGTCCAATCTCGTCAGAAGTGGGACCAATAGGAATGGTACTAACACCGCTCAGGGGTTCAACCCGATCAATGCGAGGTCCAACCCGCTAATAATACTGAACAGTCCCTCCACGCCTTCTGAGACTAACAGGGTATACATATATAACAGTTCTGATGATTATGACTCTTTAGATGAATACGAGAGTCATCAAACTCATTCCAGACAGTAGGTGAAGTGACAGTGATAATGAAGGTGCAATATTCTGTTTATTTTCTATAGAGCCGACGTCTTACCTAATAAACTGCTATATCAAATTTAGAATTAAGCATGTGTTTAGTTTCATTTGTAAATTGTTTTTACGACTGTAATTATAGTTTCAACTACGCATTTCTTTTGTATTAGTGAATAATTATTCATTCACTCGCAAGTTTCATTTAGTTCTAAGTTTTCGTGTCTTACAGGTATAAACATTTATACACGCAAGCTCCTGTAACATAAAAATCATCATAGTAAACGAAATATATATCTATTTTTTTTAAAGTAAAAACATGTATTAATCCTTCAACATTTATTGAGATTTAATAAAATTCATCGATTAAAAATAATTAATAGCTAACTACATACTAATTTCAAATAAAATTGTTCATGATGTTTCAAATGTTCTTTCGTAAATTACTTAAGATTGAATTCCTTTAAATTCAAGTTATATAAGTAATTATTATTATCAGTTTTACCATAAAATAATTTTATATAACTATTTCATTAACAACATACACTATTATTATAAGATATCTAAATTTATTCTTATTATATAATATTCTAAAATATACAGGCAACAGCACAGCAAGCTACACAAAGCTATTAGGTTCAGCTTTGAACTGCAAAAATTTTATATGTAACTTGGTGCGCTGCTGTGTATCCAAACTAAACATTTATGAATTTCTTTAATATGACGGCCTTAATACGGACCAATCGTGGGTAGAATGGTTCCAATAAGTACCAGATGCATAATCTGTCTCATGTGATCGTAGAAGTAGATACTTATATATGATATTACATTAGTTAATTAATAATTTTTAATAATGTTTTTTATCTGCAAAAGTCCTACTAACGTCTATAGTTCATCGGAAGCAATGCCTGGTTTACATTTGCTTTTTTTATTTTTTATTTATGTAAAAATATTACATTTAATACCATGCCAAAAATCAGGTTTTATATAACATTTGTAAATATAAATGGCATTGTTAAAAAAAATGTTTTAATTTCGTGATATACTGTTATCTATATTGGTTTCCAGTCATGTATCCCATTTAACTATATTTTATATATTATTATATAGTTAAAATTATATAAATTATAATTCCAACCACTTGCAGAGGGAGAGATTGCATATTATTAGAAGCAAATATAAGGTGTTGCATTAATTTTATATTAATTAGCAGTTTAAAAACGAACAATATAGATTGCTATATCACGGAACTATAGCAAATGTAAACCCAGCTTAAGGGCTTGAACATAATACTGTGAATCAGTAAATTCGAATTGACAACGCAGAACGTTTCGATGCTATTTTAGGCGATAAACAACATATACTAAAGGTATGAATGACCACCGGACGTCAACAAGTGTAACGTAAAATCGTAACATCAATCCACGAATTCTTCCATTGCAACTTCACATCACAGTGTTGTGTAAAAGCCCAATTTGAAATACATTTTTTGATTCATACAAACTTCCGATTCGTGTTCAGTAGTACTTGTATACGCGATAGCATCTTCCGTTGCAGTTGTTGTAACTCTTCGACTGAATTCGACTGTCACAAGCTGATATTCTTCGTACAAATATTTTCTCTTTATAACTATTATTATATTGTTGATCTTGCGCATCTGATGCAGCGCCATTGTACATACATTAATGTTGCCATACTTGTGTATATAAAAAAACTAAATTAAAATATATTGGAATTGAAGAAGGTTGAATGTCTTTTATAATAGTTTTACTAACCTCCTCCTTCTTTTTATGATGACAGTGTAGTTTTATTGATGTTATTAACTTGGATATACAATTGGCTTAACCGTAAACGAATAATATCTTTATTTATAACTAGTTTTCGCCAGCGACTTCGCTCGCGTGGACCCTAGGGCAATGTTTAGTGGGATAAAAAGTATCCTATTATCTAAGTCAGCATACACCAAATTTCATCAAACTCCGTTCAATAGTTTCGGCGTGATTGACGGACAAACATCCAAACATCTAAACATCCAAACAAAGAAACTTTCACATTTATAATATGAATAGGATTATAAAAGTCGTGTAGTTGCATTAACAATGTGCTAAAAATTACAATTATAGAAATATACTTGAAACATTGTAATATAAGTTTTTCAAAATTAAACGCATACATTATATCATAAACAGCATCATGACACATGCGACTAGTCTAATTTAATCTAATCATCAATATTATAATGTTAAAAAACACAGCCCGTTATAGCTTCTATGAAAAAAAAAATTATTTATTCCTGAAGTAGGTAAGTCCTATTCGATTTAACCGACAACATCCAATGACAGCACTGCGCTCGATATCGAGTTCGGGCAACACATAATTCCTACTTGCACCACTCAGCTTTAAATTTTTATTTTCCTTATACATTTAGAAATACGAGTACATTTAACTTACGATTATTTAAACTTACATAATGTAACATTTTTATACGTTACGATTTTATTTAATTCTCACCGTTTTGTAACAAAATCGAAAAATTTATAATAAAATACTATGTGCGATACTAAAATTCGATGAGATAGAAAAGTCGAACTTCTGAAGCTTCCTATTACTATACTACATTTTATAATCTAAGACCTATACTTATTATAAACCCCTTTTAATAAAACAGTATTTAGGTCCACAAAATAGTCAGTTTTGGTATTAAATAGTAAAAAATAATAATTTTGATTAGAGCTAAATAATTATCCACAGTTGTTTAAAAAGAAAGTAATAAGTAAATTTGTATGGGTAATGTCACTTTAAACAAATGACAATTTTAATGTACGTTTATGCAAATATTTGACAATAAATTAAAAAAGTATTAATTATTTGAAAGATTTAAAAACCATTATTGAGTATCTTTTGACAAGGTCTACTTCTTAGTTTTCTTTATAATCTTATTAGACTCGCTTCGATCTTCTTCCTTAGCGTCCAGACCATTATTTATAAAAAAACCAATCATATAATAACGAAGGCGATCATCATATAACACAAATATAAGCATTACCACTGCTGACGACAACTGAAACAAAAAAAAAGGTTTTGGATACTTTACAATAAAATAAATAAATCATATGTAAACAGCTTTTTCATATTGTAACTAAAATTTCAATTTACACATAAATAACTCCAAAGGGCCTTTCTCCAATCAACATGAAACGTTAATTTGTCAGCAGTTTAAAATTGAATACAGATTTGCTTTTCTAGTAATTTGCTGCTATATGTATATGTTGCAGCCAAGCGGTATAATCAGTCGACAATTCGGGTTGTATAGCCCTTTAATTGAATGGCGCCCTTCAATTACCAGGCTAACGTAGCTGTACGCAACGTTTTACAATACGGCTGAACAAAGGTCAGCCAACTAATTAGCTGTCAACTCACCGTGACGGGAACACCGATTTTTATTGGTAGGATTAGAAGTAAAAAACAATATACCTATAACCCAAAAACTCCTCGTTGCAATCTGTAATTGATACAGATAAAGGACTGATCAAAAGGTGTTAATGGTCCATATGATCCAATACAGGAAACTAACTTACACAATCATAAGGTAAGTGGGTTGAGCTTAAACTTTCATAATAAATACTTAATACAACTATACAAAGACAAGATATACAGCGATTCAGACGGCCACAGCGCCATCTATCGTAAACAGAATAAGTAACATATTTAACTGCGATTGTAACAACATAAAATGATAAACAACGATGTTATTTTGGTTCTGTAGGTGATGTGATAGATTATTTTTTTAACAGATAACAAAACTAAATGAACGTTTTGGCGGCTTTTAAATCAGCCGAATGATCCAAATATCATAATGTCTCAACTAGAAAACTAGGCGTGCAATTGAATGGCGCGATCTAATTAGATTAGACGGCTGTTAGACGGCTGTTAGACATATATATATATTATACTTACGAGAGGAGAAAGGTATTAAATATATATGTTTATCGTGCTAAAATTTTGCATGTCAGATAAAAGTAAAATAGTCATGATAATATGTATCTCCTTAGCGTTTGACGATCTTCGTTTTTAATACCTTTCTCCTCTCGTAAGTATAAATAAGAGTAATCTGACCGCTTCTACAGACGTTAATACACGCCAATCAGCAATGCAGGCCAATTCTGCTAATTGTTAAGTAAGATTCGAATCTAAATAAAATCACAATGACTTGCATTTTAACATTATACTATACAAGTACAATAAATACTTACGCAATGAATAAACGACGCTAAAAAGATGAAAGCTTTAGAAAGGACCATAATTTCGCCGTAGACTAATTGCGACAATATTACAAAGCCACGGACCATTGTTATCGGCAGCCCGCATATGATAAAGCCGGATACTGCTGCTCGAACACCCTGAATAAAAAATATTTCATAACGATTCATTTACACTAGTCGATATGGTCCACACACGTTATTCGGGCGACTTCTGAGCGCTCATCTCATTAATCAATAAATCAATACAAACTTCAATTTTCTTTATATTATTCTAAACTTTCTCATTTATTATGTGAAAACAGACATAATAACTACACAAAGCATAGACCTTTATTACACGTTTTAATTAATAATATATTACCTACACCTGAAACTAAATTCTAATACGAATAAATGTCCTCTGTATCATAAAACAGTCACCCCGACATCAAGTCAAATGAGGTTGCATTTCGTATATTTTTGTACTGTACAAAGCAGTTAATTTATTGATAGAACACTCTGAATTATGTTCTCTTGTGCGATACATGATTATTCCTAAATATTAAATAATCAAAATAATTAAATAAAATTCCTAAATAATCAATTTATTGTCAATAATAATCCTTACTTACTCTTGTGAAATTCCGTTGTGCATGATATTTATTAAGCTTTTTTTCCAAGTTCTGTGCCCAAATCAACATCAAAACCCTGCAACATACAATAAGTAAAGTTTAAAAATACATTAAAAGACATAAGTGATATTTTCAAGGTTATTCGAAAATATTAACATCATTATCACAGGCTTTATACTTCTCATGAAGAAGATGAGTACCACCATATATCTCTTCCAGTAAATTAATGGTATATTCATGTCGAACGTGCAATAGAAGCAGTCAAAATCTTTAGCGTACTGTCCTATACCTACCAGCGGTGGAACAGCGTAGCAAAAAGCAAAGAAAACACACAAACCGACGTACAAATAGTAGTAACTTAACGGCACTTTCCACCCTGAAAATAGAATTGAAACAAAAATATAAATTACCAACCGAATCAATTAAACTGAGTTATTTCTCAATTTTAAGCAGTTTTATTTCATTCTTTCAACACTTTTTGGCAATAGCTGTTTTTAAAACACATTAATATTAACAAATAAATATATAGAAATTATACATTTCACAATTTCAAAACAGTTTCTTTCTTTTACTACTTTTTAACTTTGGTGTACTAAGTCCGGTCCTTAGGAAAATCAACAATTCCGATACCTACATATGGAATAGGCATTTTTAAAGGTGGCCATTTTGGCTAACTCCATCATAACAACATCGATAGCTAGCTGTAAAAACATTTCATGTATGTCATGTCCTCCTAAAGTTTCATTTGTTCGTGAATTTATATGTAAATATTCGTTTGCAGCACCTAAATAATAGGGTAAACCTAATGTATAGGAGCTCTGATGTCAATATAGATAATTCAGACTAGTAACAGACTGATTTCTAGAATCTATGTTACTAAATAACACGATTATTAAATAATCAACTCATTCAATTTACGATTATGGAGATTAGGCTACTTTTAAATAGGTGAGTAAACAAATATTAATTTCAAGCCTCTGCTGAAGGCACATTAAACCGTCTGTCGCAGCCTCATCCGCAACTATGAATTTTTCTATGCAGCACGCGCAACATGACAAACTCGAGAAATACTACCTACTGCCTATACCATATGTAGGCAATGTTTTGCTGAATGAATAAATAGTATTCTGCGGTCGCGAGTGAGATGTTTTATGGACGTACCTCAGAAAAGTGATATTTCGATGTATACAAATCGTTCTCGAGGTTGTTATGCTACATGTACAGTTAAGACCGTTCTCTATAGTATAAGTATATAAGCTCATTGCTAATGATGATCCAGAAACATTCAGATAAAAATATAATATAATCTAGATTTCATGTACAAATTCATCTACAACTTTAAAATTTTAAACTAAAACAACAATCTTACCTTTATATTTGTATTTTGCAAGAACATACCGTTCAATACAAACCATAGTTAAACTTTCAATTTCGAAAACAGCAAGAAACGTCTCCGTAAAGCCAAACAAATTACAGAACAAGTATGAATTTTCGTTCGACCTAAAAAAACTAGTATTTTTATCACAGGCTAATTAATACAATAATTACAGTATTTGGTATTATTTTAGCTCGCAGCACCAAACACAGTGCAGGCACAGCATTTGAAGTTTAATAATATAAAACTTTAATTACTTTCAAAGTACATTTTATAGTGAACCTCTTATGTTCAATAAATAAAACTGCAATTCAATCAACAAGTTAGTCAATGAGAAGTACAGAGGAATGAAGTACCAATACTGAAACAAACGGCAACATAAGAAATACTTTCTAAAATTAATTAATAGAAATATTCTTTGTGTTGTCAAAGTGTACAAATCAATAAAAAGAGTGTAAACGCATACCGTCTTATAATAAAACGAGGACGAAAGTTTTTGCTTTAAACCATTTCCCGCCTGAATCGAATTGATATAAAAGAAGAAACGAGAAATTTGAACCTGGTACTAACGAACGGCGTTATAAAAAATAAAATGTATAGAGAGAGAAATAAATATAAATAAAAGTAATAGAAATGTAAATATAGTTATCAGATGGGAATAAATAAAGGAAGTTGTAAAATTATTAATAAAAATCGAATATAAGTAGTAGAATAGGAATAGGAGTAGATTAGATGTGGCAAACCCGGTCACTCGAGGAATGAAAGGGATGTAAGACAAAAAGATAAAATAGAACTGGAACGAAAGAGTATTTAGAACGAAGACCTGCTTATGACTGGAGTGCAGATTAGGAGCTCGACCACAAACGTGAGGCCGGGCATTAAAAAATACCTAGTTTTATAATAAGACGGACGCAGCTTACGGCAGCAGCACATGTCTAGTTGACTAATGCGTTACAAAACCGCAAAGTTTTAGAATCGCGTTGAATTGCAGAGATATAGAATATATATAGAATATTCGATAGGTAGGTACATCTATCAAAAAAATGGGCACTTTATTTATTAATACTTACGAATTCATAATCGGTATAATTTTAAGGACGTTAGGTATAGCCCTACGCATTCCGCAGGTCAATACATACGTCTGCAAGTTGGCATAACTATCATTGGAAAATATCTTCGACGTCACTATAGTGCAGCATATCCATATCCCAATTATCATTGTAAAAACACCTGGAAATAATTTAAAAGTATCATGTATCTTCAAGAGACCACTAGAGGTGCAGAGATGTCCACGCACGAGGAAAAAAAATTGAAAATTTGCTTAAACTAATGACCGTGCCATAGGTTTGATCATCATTCGATAGCGTAATCAGTTTACCGACTCATTTTAGATATCCGATACTAAGTACTACTATTGATAGTCGCATATAATATTAATATTAGCTGCGATATAGTATTAACGACAATATAATTACTAAATTATTAGTAGTTCATATAATTGAAGTGGTAGACGAAAGATGTATGTAAAGACCGTAGATTGTGGCGTTTGGTCGTCTCTGCCTACCCCGCCATAGATAACAAACATATTCTAACTACTTATTTTTCGCTGGTGGTGAATTAGGTGTTCCAGCTCCCGACCTCCGCACTGGGTACTGATATTATACCCTTAGTATTTCAACATACTAAAATATCAAGCTTTAGAAAGCTCTTGTACATTTCTGTCACGAGCTCTCCGTTTAACATCACAACGCAAGCCACTCACACATAATTATTTCTTCTAGTATGTTGTTAGCTTTCGCCAAAGACTGTTTACCATCCCGCCTTACCTTACATACTTATATTCGTATTCAATAATAAATTATTGATTATTTGCTTTCAAATACCTTTTCTAAGAACCAATAAATAGTCGTAGATATGAATATTATGAAAATTTATTTTAACTTTGCTAACAAGCGAGGATTATTTCCCCCCATCAAAGTTGATACTAGAAACTTCGAGAAGAAATGTGTACAAATAATTGTAAGCTTCAAATAATGATTCAATTATTAGGAATATGTGTAGGATGATGAATAAATTATTCGTTTCTATTATAAACGTCTAATGATTGAAAATTGTAAAAGAAAAAATTATACGTATTTATATACCAGTAGAATAAAATTAAATGATAAAAAATGCAAAACTTAATAATTGAAACGTTACGATTTCTCGATTAAAAAAAATTTTTTTTATAGATGTTTATGTCAGTTTAGGTATGCATATGTCGCAGCCAACTGAGTAAATCAGTCGTTCATTTGTGCAGCTAGCCATTTAATTGAATGGCACCATTTGGCGACATGGCGACATTTAGACCGTTAAAAAATGCTGATCCTAGGCTGCGACACATACATTAGGTACTTTTACAATGTCGTGTTGCACTTATATGAAAAATTGTTAATTTGCTCACTTATTAATTTCATTTATTTTTGGGGATTCAAACTACATTCATATATTTTACTATCCATACTAATATAAAAATGCGAAAGTTACTCTGTCTGTGCATCTGTTACATTTTCACGATTAATCTACTAAACCAATTTTTATGAAATTTGGTACACTGATAGAGTAGACCTTGAGAAAGGACATAGGAGCACACATTGGGGAAGGACAGAATAGTTTTAATCGCGAAAAAGCCGATACCCATACGGGTGAAGCCGCGGGCGGAAAACTAATTAATAATAAGTAATTGTAAACACATAATTGTAAACAAAAAGAAATTGCGTAAATCCAAAAAGCGTCAATAATAACTCAAGTCCTACTTTATATTGAACAACACCATATCAACAATGATTACATACCTATAATATCCATATGATAATGATAATCTTCTATAGTTTCATATGACATCTTGTTGAACATAAAATACCAGCGGCAAGGGATCTCGTTTTCATGCGAGTTAATGATTGCTCCTTCCATGATTGAAGGTCTGAGTCTAATACTAGTCAGATGGATGGCTTGTATGAAGAAAGTTGTCTTACCAAATTTCTAAAAACAATTTTAATTATAAGATATGTTCTAAATATAGATAATCTAATCCGAGTGCAGCGATGTCAACTTTTTTATGATATACCTGCGATAAAAAATTTAAACATCTCAAAACTACTAAAGCTATTTTAGAAAAAAATCAGATAAGTAATAATGTAAAATACTAATTCAAAATTTCAAAAATGATATTAATTTAAACCCCATATGATTTTCAAAATCATTATTGAAGCATTGTTCAAATATCCAATTACTTCAAATCGGATCTAGACCTTATACTAACACAGAGTTCACAAATGATAGCAAAAAAATAAGTCTTATCTATAACACTGTTATTAAATGAAGTCGATAGATATTATAATTGAATATCTTACTCATTTATTTTATTGCTTACCACTTCAGTTTTAAACTAAACTACTTATCAAAACCTTCTATAGTTTTGTTGAAAATGTGGAAACTTAATTGACGACACTATCCGTGGAAATGCTTGCTTACGTACAAAGAACCACTGCTTTTGTTGCCTTGTGTTCCATTTATGTTGCATCCTGTATGCTTCCAGTTATGACACACTTCGCTTGGCAACATTGTTGCACGTACTTACCACATTGCCTTTTCTTCTCCACAAACAAGAATGATTATAAGATTAAGGACAAAGAGAGATAATGTTCCCAAGATAGAAACAAGTACTTATCCATTTATTCATAAATAATAAAACGCAGGATAAGAAACGGATAAGATTTTTAAAAACTGTGTACATATTTATATCAATGTCATGATATCTCATTAAATTTTCATGAAACTATCTACTTATGGCAATGGTTTATAGAACTAAATATAAGTAGTTTTACGAGTATTACCATTAATAACAAGGTGTTACCATTGTTATTAATTTAGAAGTCATTTTAATAGGGTAGTTTCTATTTTAATACAACTATACTAATATTTTCTAATTTTCTAAAAAATAATTATCATCATCAACCCTTTTACGTCCCCACTGCAGGGGCTTAGGCCTTTCTTATGGATGGTTGAGGAAGATGGGCCATGACCCTCCACGTTGGCCCAATGTGGATTGGAGGGTATTAACGACTGGAAATGCAGCCGGGACCAACGGCTTAAAGTGCCTTCCGAAGCACGAAGTAGCTCGTGATAATAATTTTTTGGTCACCCATCCCGTGACTGACCCTTGCGAAAATTGCTTAACAACAACGATCGCGGGCTACGGCGCTTATACTCTACGCCACCAAGCTACTAAAAAAATGATTATTTTAAGGTATATCTCCTGAAATACTAATCTAACCAAGAAAATTTTTTCTCCTAAGAGAAGCTACATTATACGCGGGCGACATAGGCTATAATTTACGCGGGTTTAGTCGCATAAATAGCTAAAATACAAATACGTATATTAACGACAAAGTTATTATTTCTGTCATAAAAAAAACTTTTAATTATTCGATACATATAATAAAGGTTAACTTACTCACTTGTCAGAATCCTTAGTTACGACTATTCATTTTCTACATATGTATAACAGTCTTATACACAGCTATTCTGATTACGTTACCTATTGCGTCGCAGCACTAATAGATAATGATACGGGTTCAGCAGTCGTCGTGTGACAAACAGGGGGACGAAAGGATTCCCCCTCTCCCACCTATTCCCCGAAAGTCTCCGTTTTTTTCACGTCTTTTCAATAACAAATAATTCTAACGTCTTTCTTAAAGTGGGTAGTATACACCCCGTTTTAGGCGCTCGTGACTTCGAGGGGGCAATAAACATTTCAGTAAAAGTAAATGGTATGTGTTATAATTTATTATTTATGTATTTTATAAATACTCAAACGGAAAACTAAATTAAAATAAATCCATTTATTTTCTTCTTATATATGCCCAATTACAATTACAAAACTGGCAAAAGAACAATAAGGTTTTGTAGTTCCCAAATTATTAGATACATACATATTTTTGAAAAATATACACGAGATATGTTTATAAGTTTTCGCTCTTGGCAGTTCTGTGACACCGAATATGTAAATAAAATTTTATGTTGTATTATATGTTAATTATTTTTTCATGAAAAAAATATATCTATCCTGAAGGACTAATGTGTTATCGATTGCTTATAACTACAATTAATAAATTTGTTAGCAAGGTACAACATATAATTGAGATGACCTAATGTAATTACCTCCATGCCAGGCAGGGACACTATAAAAAAATTATAACTGACTGGAACTTTTTTCAGGCGCTCTAAAAATAAAACAAGATATGTTTTAGTAAAATAAAAATAATTTAATACTTTGTAACTTTACACATAAATAATTAAACTGCAATAACCGAATTTCACAATGATATTGTCTATTCAGTCTTTTTTATTTACGCATAAACGCTGATTGAATAACACACATACACACACACATAATCCTTGCTTTATTATACTTCTTCTATTCAATTCTTCAGTATCTAAATGTTGTAGTATTTTCACGTCTAGTGATCGAATTTCTCGTAACTGTTTAAACAGTGGTATTCTTATACCAAAGATTGTTTGTGCTTTTCCTATTATTTTTCTCGAGACTGATATAACTATTATTAGAATAATTGCTAAGGAGATTGAGATTAAACTTTTTGGCCCGGCATGGATGCAGTAACGCATAGTTCCTCCGCATTCGACCCAGGAGTGCAGCCCGCAATCTCTCGTCCACAGTCAAGTAGCACAGTACTGGAATACTAGTAGCTGCCTGAAAATATTTAATCGATAACTGCTAGTACAAATAAGGATCCTGAATTAAGTGATTTTTATTCCTGAAATACTTTTCGAATTCAATATCATCGTTCGATCTAAGGGGTTATTCCGTATTCATTTTATAACGTCTCATCGTACGCATATTTGTTTCCTTACTCATCCTATTTATGTTTCTTACTCAACCCGCAACAATTTAATTCGTTTTAAATTTTTATTCATCCCGTCAGTATTCCTGGTTCATCCTTTTTTAAATCTTCTAGTTAATAGCAATTTGAAATAATATTAAAGCGCTCTAGGCGCCAGTGGTAGACTAAATAGGTTTTAATAAATAGACGCCATTTCGAAATAAATAACAAATATAACAAACACTACCCCAAAGCTAGCTCTTTTAAGACTCTCATGGGTGTGGAAAAAATAACAAAATACTCGTTGAATCGCTGTCTCAATTATGCCTGTTTTTTGCATGACATACATTTAAAGAGCTCATAAAAAATAAGAATAAAAAAAGTATATCAATCTGTATCGGTAATAACTCATTCTCCCTATTCAACTTGATTCGATTGCATGTATTTGGAAAATTTGAATAAGTAAAGAAATGAGATGAGACGTCATAGGATGAATACGGAACAACCCGATCTAACAAGCACTTGTTAAAGTCGCAAGTTATGCCATTTATTCAGAAATCTGCGGTGGGAGACCATATACTGAGAACACCTGGCATAGAAACTCAGCATGGGCTGCTTTTTTCTACCTGTTTTATTTTATACATGAATTCCAATTAAAAATATAGACTATGAAGTTACTTTTCATTACAATAAAAGCTTACAAAAAGGGATAATTCGTTCTTTAATTGATTAATTATGCCGCATCGTACGAATTTATTGATAATAAAACTGATATACGATGTGTATACAATAAAAACAGACAATGGACAAAATTAAGCACTTATTCCAAGGAAAAGTCATCCGTGTGGCGTAATAATAATTTGGCTTTAAATTGTTTTTGGCATACAGCTTAGATTGGCATAATTATCTTGAAGCTAATTTCTTACGTAATTTTATTTTATATAATTCTTATTCTAGATATAAAAAAAAATATCAACGGGTTAGGTTAGATCGGTGACCGAAAAAAAGCTAGCCGAGCGAGCGTGCCGCAACAGCGCCCGGAGAATGCAATTTGAATATTTCAATTTATTATTAGTTTAGGAATTTAAGTTTCAATATTAATCTACAGTGGAAAGATTTGTACCAAGTAAAACTTATAATAACCCTTCCTTTGCAGTCGGATAGCAAAATGAATGCAAAGGAAACCTTACCTCAGCAGCAATAGGTGCTATGAGTGCCAAAGCAGGAGGCACATGAGGTCTGTATCCGTACACTAGAAGCGGCAGCCATTGCCAACCCACCAAAATCGCCGCGGGTATCCATAGTGCTAGTGTCGCTACTGTTAGAGCATGAACACTCTGAAAAATTAAAAATCTTTGCTAACTGTTACTTTATCCAATTAATGTAAATCAAATATATTATTATAATACATTTCAATATTCTATTAAAAATACCTTAGTCAAACGTTTTTGTTCTCTTTGTTGTTCACTTCTGTAATATATTTTTTCCAAACGTATAGCTTTCCCCATAAAATAAAATCTGAAATATTAAATACACCTATTTAACTTTGGCTTTAATAAGAAATAAGGATTCAATGTTTATCTAAGAAAAAAGTATGTTTCTGAAACAGTCCAATCACCACAAAAGGTAGTTTACTTTTATTTTTATATTATGATATTTTAGTTAGACAAATTCGTATACGTATTTCAGTAGTCGTTATTAGGTAATCAGTAAACAGGGAGAATGTTGTGATTTGTCAATACAAACTACTTACTAAATAGCGTCTCTGCTTTTAACAAAATTGAATCCGAAACCATAAAACTAAATAAAATACGTTTTTTTTCTCTTCGACTACTATGGGGTGGTGTATCCAAAACAAAATTCTTGGACTTCGAACATGCTCTAAGGGCACTGATTAAGATCATGTATTTCAGAATTCGTGACAAATCTAATTTCTGATAGAAAGTTGTAAATTCTCCCTGTTATAATAATACAACCCCAATATAATAAAGAAGAGAAGAAAGTACACAAATAAAAGTTTCGCTAAAAACAATTGCTAAAGCAATCATCCTTCATTTACAATCGAATTACCAAAATGCTTAATAAATATCCTTTAACCTACCAACAATGCAAACTGAAAGTGACTGGGTAATAATTGAAAACTATGAATTTTTGATTTCTTATATTTTCAGACACACATTCATAAACGAAACAACTTTTAAACGATTTCGTAGCATTTGTATTTGGTTTTATTGACGTTTCTGACCCCTACAGATTCCGAGTTCACATAAAACTAAGGTGCTGACATTAAGGTGAAAACTTGGTTTTTAATCTTACAACATTGAAGGTAGAGTTTGATATATTGTGGTAACCTGACGTGCAACCATGTGAACAATGATATTAAGAAATATTTGAAATCCTTACATGGCAATGACAGGTGCTACCCCGCATATAACAACATATGGCACAGCGAAGCCAATATGTCTTGATCCAGCATTAGTGGAAGGCCACAGTAATGTGCAGACAGTACCCGTGGCGTCACACGAATACAGCCCGTAGCTGAATAAAGGGGGTGTAGCAAACACTACTGCACTCAGCCAGCAGAGACCCACCAGCGTCCAATACCATCGGAAATATAAAGACTTTTCTGCAAATATATTGGAGGTTCATCAATACTTATATTATAAAGAGATAAGAAAGTTTCTTACTTTGTTTGTAGGAAAGAATCTTCGAAAGTATACGTAGGCTATAATTTACGAGGGCGAAGTCGCAGGAAAGGTAATAAAAAACTACGCTAAAGGTTAAAACTCAACTTTTGCACTTTTACCCTCTCCAAAGGCTTACCAAAATCTACTTTCAAATATATTAATTGAAAAAGGTATTTTTCCAATTCAAAATCAAACCACCATCACTTCATATTGTCTTGTATTCTTATCCTAGCCTAGGTTTAATTGAAGATAAGAATGTAAGCAATAAGTGAACGTTTTATTTTTGCCAGAATGCGATTTTAATACTCACCACGTCTGTAGAATCTGGCTTGTAGATATCTTTCCAGTACAATAGCAAACAAAGCTGCCATTTGGAAGACCCCAAAGAACTGATTCAAAAATGCAAACAGCTGACAACATGCTGGGCCGAATAGCCATCTGCCAAACACAATTACAATTTAGATCAAGTAATTCTGCAAGGTGTTATGTTTATAATAATACTTACTTCTTCTTTAGTCTTCAAACATATTAAAACAATTTATACCAACATTCTTTTCCCTATCAAATCACATAGATTTATACTAAGTACAACGACCTCATAGTCGAATAGATATCAACAAAGATATCGCCATCTCTGAGCTATTGGGTTCGATCCCGATCGAGTCCATTTAGACACGAGAGCTTGAGCTACTGATTTTGGAATCTTATTTGATGGTGTCTAATGTATATTTTAAGTACTTATACGTAGTGGATTTGCAGCTAAAAATAAAAAAAAATACCTTTTAGATATAGCGGATGATCCCGAAAATGGAAACCCAAGTATATTCCTGCCAAGCGACGCTGAGCAAATATTAAAAACTAATATATGACTCCTGAATATTAACAGGTGACTGTGGATAAACGTGGCAAATAGCCAGCCGTTTAGCAGCACCCCGAATACACCTGTCAAAACATCCAGATTAAAGACCACTGAATAATGAGGTAGATTACGTCATAGCCAGTCATAACACAGTAAGTCCTCGTCGTATCTATCATCACGCACTTCATTCTCACCAAATATAATCAGACAGGCGCCTAGTAAAGTCTTGTAGGAGCCGTCGAAATAATACCACGGACACTCGTCTTCCTGGTAACCGAAGAATGTTTGCATTCTTAGTAAGCTGCCGCCAGCAACCAGCTCAGGCACCTGGAGAGCTCCCGTGGTTCTTTAAATACTTATTGCGCATTTAGCTATCTTTTCATAAGATCCCAGAGAAACGTCTGCGTTCTACAAGCGGTCACAGAGACTGGTCAGGTTGACGAACCACCGCTGGCAGCGACAAAGGATAGAGATCATGTTTCTCTCTTACTGGAACGACTTTGTACGCGGGATCGAGGGCGTGAACGTCGTGCTACGCTAAACAACGAATGGCATGTCTTATTGCCCATCACTAAAACAAATTATGTTCTAAAAATTAATTTATTTATATGCTTGCATAATTCTGTCCGACGCACTCTATACACACTCTTTTACTGAACAGAGAGTGTCCGCTACAAGCGTGATAGGAAGAATTACTCAGCTAATTTTTAAACTATGTATAGCATATAACAAATATATAAAATCTTTAACAGCTATCGAATTAGGTCGATAGAAATATTCAACATAGTGAAAGTCTTAGAAAATGAGATTTTGTTAATTTGCTCTATGTTATTTTTTCAATAATAATAAATTATATTCTTAATTTAAAGAAGAAAGATTTGATTGCTTGTTTGTTTGCATTGGATATGCTCCGATACTATAGAACCGGTTTATGAAAATCTTTCATCTACCGGAAACTACATAATACGCGGGGGACTATATTTTTCGATTCTGAACTTATAGTATAAGTTTTTTTGATGTTTACGTTCACCGTCAATTGCGACCGCGTTAAGATTTTAGCTTTTTTACGCAAGCGGTAACTGAACTACAGATCTCCATACTAATTCTTAACGCGCTCATTAGTGAACACGTTAGCGTAAAACTTACACTTACCACTTTGAATTCGGTTAAAAATAAAGACTTGTGTATGCTCGTTAGTTACACATACAATAAATTAAAATACGCAACCTTTTCCTTAAAAACGGGAAATGCTACTTTAGCCCGGATTTAGTACACAGTCATGCCTGATTTTTACCAACAGATATAAAAACCGACCAAGTACGAGTCAAACTCGTGTACAAAGGGTTCCTTACCAAGCAAAAAATAACGTTTGCTATATTTTTTTGTTATAACGGCAACAAATATACATCAACTGTGAAAATTTCAACTGTCTCGCTATCACGGTCCATGTCATGAGATATAACCTATTGACATGGATAGATGACCGGACAGCAGTCTTAATAGTATGGTAATGTTTTTACCCTTACGGAACCCTAAAAATTATATTATTACTCAATTAAAAATTGGCGAAGTGTGAATCGGGTTCGTACAAACTTGTAACTGCCACCTAGTACCTACATCAAATGCAGTCGCTGAAATCCAATTTCAAAGTATGTTTATCCGATCTTTACTTTATTAGGAGTACCTTCACCAATGTCACCATTATATAACACTACTGGAGTTTAAAAACTGTCAAAACATCTACAGTAGGGTTTTCGAACATCCTTTTTTCACAGAACATGTTCTGATTTTAGTAGTTTTCTGAATAGTTTTTATGCAAATGCCCTTAGAGGTCATATTAGGTTAGGGAAAAAGTTTCTTTGTATATAATATGGATAAGCTTGTAATTAAAATGGCTGGCTTCGGTATTACTAAAAGTTTGAATTTTTAACAAGGTAACTCCGAATTCAAATTGGGAGAATGTGTGATTTTCATTTGTTTTTCTTACTGTCAAAATGAGTTAATCTAATGAAGAAACTCGATATATTTCAAAATTTTATAACAAAAAACCTAAAAAAGCAACGCAAAAAAAAATGTGTCGTTTATGGACCTAGCACAGTTTGGTTTTAGCGTTTTCAGTCTTGTTTTGATGTCAAAGATGCACGTCGCTCCGGTCGCCCTGTTACGGATAAAATTGATATCATTTTTTAAAAAGTGGAGCAAGATCGGCATATCAGTAGTTAAGACGAAGCTAAAGAACTAGGGATTGACCATAAAACACTTTTGGCGCATTTGAAAAAAGGTGGTTACACAAAAAAGTTGCATATTTGGGCTCACGAGCTCACTGAAAGAAACCTAATGAACCGTGTACTCATTTGTGATCCTTTATTACGGCGTAATGAAACCAAACCATTTTTGAAGAAGTATATAATTGGTGATGAAAAGTGATCCACGTACGACAAGAACGTGTGAAATATGACGTGGTCAAAGGTCGGTCAGGCTTCACAGACTGTGATGAAACCGGGGTTAACAGTGACGCTGTGTGTATGTGAAGGCCATTTTTAATTATGAACTGTTACCGCCATAGATTCTGAACTATACTGCGAGCAACTGATGTAATTAAAGTAAGAAGTTGAGAGAAAGCGGCCAGAATTAATCAGTAGAAGGGGTGTGGTTTTTTATCATGATAACGCTAGACCTAATTTTCTTGCCACTCAGCAAAAATTAAGAGTTTGGCTGGGAAGTGTTAATAAATCCTCCATATAATACTAACCTTGCAACTTCAGTATCTTACCAGTTTCGTTCTCTTTAGGATTCTTTAGGCAGTGTCAAGTGAACATCACGCGAGGACAGTCAAAACCACTTGTTTTTTGATCAGAAGCCTAAAAATTTCTATAGCAACGGAATCATGTTCCTACCTACAAGATGGCAAATTTTTTCGAACAAAATGGTACCGACATGATCAAGTTAACGTAAATAAACTTTATTAAAAAATGTTTTGAATTTTCATATAAGGGTACTTCTTGGAAAAGCAATTTTTGAGTGTCACAGGGACATATCTCCTATAAAAATAAATTATTATGATAAAAACTACTATTACATCGTTTCTTCATTTCATTAAGCATAGTGTCATATAGATTTCACGGATAAAAAACGACGTAGATCGGAGTAATTTACCCTCAACACCACAAATCCGGTCAATTTTGCACGTTTTTACCGTGTCACACGCGCGCCGACTTTTGAGCAATCGCAAATATTTTTGAAATTACCCACGTTTTTAATCAGTTTGTTACACACATTTAAAAAAGACAAATCGGTTTACATATTGATCAAATTTCAAATTAATCGGAAGGAAACTTTTGATTTTATGGTCAGAAGTATATGTGTCACACGCTTAGCAAAATTTTCGCCGCGCGCCTTGCGCGAGATACTGTTCTGAGCTGGCGAGGCGTAGGCGAACCCCGATTGGTGTTTGCGAATCGTCATTTATGCCGCAGCTAGCAGGTGAGGTGGCCACGTCGCTGTTTCCTGCGCTTTCGTTACTAAAATAAGTTCTTCCATTTCTTAAATTTTGGTTCTCAGTTATCCGGCTTTGCCATGTCACATTTTTTCAATATAATTGTACTTCTTCTAGAAAATGGGTTTTAAGGTGAAATATCTAGCTCTATAATGTAGATAAACAGTAATAAACTAGCCGGTTATATCTTTTCACTGCAGAGTAATTTCAAAATATATGATTTTTGGTAATTTCCATGGTGTAATTTCCATGGATAAAACACCATGGAAATTACGTATCACCCATGGAAATTACTTTGTTTCATTTTGGTTGCAAAAAAACAAACGTTATGTTCAATGTTTGTTTTCAATGAAATGCACGCCATCGCCAAATACAGACTTAAATGTTGAATGTTGGTTATTTTTTTAATTAAATCGTCTTAAATATCATTTAAAACTTTGATCATCATCTTCAAATTCTCAAATCGTGATTAAACAAATTCAAGTTTAAAACATCTGTCTTTCGCTGTCGTCTGTTTGAAGTTAACAGGGTCACAAGGACATTTTTTACACCGGATTAAGTTAACATATTATATAAATTATTTATTTATTGTAAAAATTTACTTTGATTAAACACTAAATTGGTACCTGTAGGGCCAATGGTTTTCTCAAAAACGATAGATAGCTAAAGGGGTTATCTTGACTGAAATAACCTCCTAATATCTACTTATGACCGGTGTTCGTTATCTATCGTTTTTGAGAAAACCACTGGCCCTACAGGTACCAATTTGGTGTTAAATGAAAGCCAATTAAATTTACAATAAATTAATTACTGATATTTGACGTAGGATGCGTTTTTTATAAGATAATTGACAAAATAAATTACCATTTCGAAAAAGGGTTCTCTATGTCACTTCGAAACACGTTTCTTCGATAATTGATACATCGACAACTATACGTGAACGTCGAAGCGTTCATTGTTCGAAGTTTCAATACATCGAATATCTTACTTCGACGCCCGACTTTTGTTTGTCCGATGTAACGTTACTTCGAAAAATTTACCAGATGCTGAAATTTCAATGTTGGTCTCATAGTGAAAGTTGTTCAGTTTCATGGGCTGAGCTACCACCTGAGAGGTTTTGCGCTATTTCCATAACACGTTGTATATATTTTGTTTTTTGAGAACATGAACGTGTTTAGGTTTCGTTCCAACTTTGAGAAAATACTATCGTATATCGTTTCAGTATAATGTAGGTAGATCTTAATACTACCCTAACTAATATGACAGCTTAATTTCATATACGACATGGTGTTTAGCAAAATTTTATCTGCTGTGTAATTTCCATTGCCTTATATGTAATTTCCATGGTCCGCCAATTTTCTACATTTTTTTTTAGCAAAAGTATAGATCTCAGTCGTGGCCAATTTTAATATGTTGTTTAAATTTGCAGAAGTTTTCGAAATATTTATATAATTCACCATAATTTTGCGATTTCAAAAATGCCCTGGAAATTACACGGAGAACACATTTCCCAAGAATCACCCATAAAATGCGAAGAAACTTTTCCCCAACCTATTATAAAATTCAGCGCTTATGCAATTCTTACGTTAGAAGCCACTTAAATTAAAAGTGTTTGCACTACGCAATGAAATCTTGATCTTTTTGAAGGTAGAAAAAAATATCTTCACTGTTTATTATTTTTAGATATTTTTTATTGTTTTTTCTTCAATTTAACATGAAATGGCTTGGATAATAAGCATTACAGTTGAGGAGTGGGGGCTTGCTACATCACAAGTATGTATGTAGGCCGTATTTTAATCATTACGCAGAAAATTAAGAAATATCTGTTTAATGTTCTTGAATCATCATCCCTCATGTCCTGGATTTTCAATTCGTTTTGAAACTCTCAACTGTATAATTAATAGTCCTATGAATACCTGTTTTGAATTAATTTGATTTAATTTTTTCTTTTGACCTTTAATAAAAAATTACAGACCAAAGAATCATATAAATAGTAAGGTAAAAATTGAATTAAAAACAAATAAAAAACTTCATCTGTTACAAAATTAAGAAATAAAAGCTGTCTCCTTTGTCTCTAACATTAGTTTCATCTTTACAACGCAATTTATTACAGCCACTTTAGGGATATTAATAAATTTTCATCTGTATCAATGATTTAAAATTAATTAGCACCATGTCTCTTGTCTCAATCTTTTTGGCAGTATACCAAACCTAAGAAAAACTCACTACAGAAATTAAAATTTCCTTTTATCTTTCTATTTATTAAATCTTTATGCTTAATACATAGCAAATGGCGGATTTAATCCCAAGAAGACATTCTCTACCAGTCAAACAGTATATATACATATGTATACACTTTGAATGAGCTGTATATCTTCACCGGTATATTATATATACACACAACTATATGTACACACAACTATATAGACACACATACTCATAAATCATCAGACGTCCTAGTTTGATGATTTATTTCTCACGATTTCTCTTTAATATTTTATTTGAATATTTATATCAATATCATACAGTTACAAAAAATTGCATAATAATCTTAGTTTGATTTGACTTAGAATGTGTTTTAGTAGAACTCCTTCAAAGGTTATTATATTATATTAGATACAACTCAATAGCTACAAAGAGTACATTTAAACGATGATTCCATTAGAGGAATTCCTAGACGAGATCACAACGTGATGAGCCAATACTATTTAGTTTTATTGATTTGGGCCAGTGACAAAAACTCAACAAGCTAAATACAATAATCTTAATGTCAGACGATCGTCGTAGAGATGTAGGATTGAAATCAATCGATATTAATCTACTGATATTTACTGGAAGAATAAATACTAAAATATATCATACCACTTCACATACATAAATAGACATTGGAAATGCACATCTACGTATAAATAACTTACACGTATCGAAGTCTTTACAAAATCCATGGAAAATTGTAAGTTTTGGGTAAAATGTAAGGTATACTCTGCTATAAAACAATTGTAACAGTCTTATTATATAAAAATAAATGTTTCCTTCAAGTGATCAAGTGCCAACTACTCTATAAGTAATTTCAATATGACCATCGTTCGAATACCACATAATTTTGAAACATCCAAGATCAGTAAATACCAAACTTACGATCTGTAAGTAAGTTTCGTTTTCTTATAAAGTTCTTATAAAATGGAATTCACTCAGATATTTGATGTAGTATTTACGTTCCATATTATATACATATAAGTATGATGAATTCCTATCCATTGTTTATTAATTAAACTTACACCAAGACTATTGTGTATGCTGCACACATTGTTCCATACGAGGCTTCTTTATACACGTGTCAAGATTTATAAAATACTTAGCTCCTATAAAGTTCAACATAAATAATCCAACCCGTCAATAACAATATGAAAGAGTTACATTAAGCATTTGACCTCAGTACTCACAGTAGCTACTAAAATATTTCATTTGCTGTACCCAAATTTAAAAATAACTATCAACTGGCTTACATAACGTCGAATTAGATTTTTCCCAGATGTCACAGTTTCGTCTTTTTCACTGTTTACGCCGGGCATAGCTCAGGTAACGGCTAAATTTGTGCGATCTGATACAAGCAATTTCAATAAATTGCTTCGTACAGACATCACCTGATAAACAACACTGGCTTGGCAACGGAACACGCCAGGTACGCTCTTCACTTACCTCATACGGCCGGCCGGTGCGCGTCAATACGACTCAACTAAATTGGTAAAAGTCCGCGTGCCATTTGAAACGCTTCAATAATAAATCAAAAGTGTGCCTAGCTTATGTTGTCAAATCCTCTGATTTGTATATTCAAATCTAGTGCAGTGCCGTCATCGGGCGACTCACGACAGGATGTTATCGTTGGAACAATTGTCACAAATAGTCAAAGTGCACCTCGGTCTCTACAACTACTCTGAAGGTATTCAATATTCATGTAAATGGGACATTAGTGAATCGGCCTTGGGCGGGCGAGGACTATTTGCAACTGAAGATATAGCATCTGGTGAGGTCCTGTTCGTAGATCGGCCACTTATTCGAGGACCCCGAATCACCGCACCACGAGGATGCACAGTCTGTGGCCGCTTATTAAACAGTGATACATTTTTCAAATGTCACAAATGTTCTTGCTTATTGTGTTCGGAAGAGTGTCAAGATAGTGCTACACATAACGAGGATTGTGCCATAGTTTCCGGATGGAATAATAAAGTACCTATTGAGGAAGTAGACGATATTTTATTATCAAGAGCGTTGACACCGATAAGAGCGTTATTGTTGAATGAAGATCAGAAATTGCTTATGGCAGCGCTTCAAGCACATATTTTACCACAACACGGTTCAGAGATTAGAGATTTAATAAAATATTTCCACATTCCAGAAGAGGCTACACAATTACTCACTCTAGCTTGTTGCGCGCTCGACACAAACGCATTCCAAATAGCAACTGCGTACGGTAAAAAGGAAGTAAGCATGCGAGGCTTGTATCCAGTTTCTGGATTAATGAACCACAATTGTGTGCCAAATACTAGATATAGTTACAATGGCGATAACCAAATGACTGTTAAAGCTGTGAAACCAATTCGAGCAGGAGCAGAAATTTTTACATGCTATACCGGAACTTTATGGGGAACCCCTTCTCGACGGATGTATTTATACAAAACGAAACATTTTTTGTGTCAGTGTGACAGATGTGCAGATCCTACTGAACGTGGAACACTGTTAGCCGCGCTGAAGTGCTTCTCTGCGGAATGCCCTGGGTCGCTCTTACCAACGCAGCCTCTAAAGCTATCATCTCCTTGGCAATGTTTGCAATGTGGTCTGCGTGTACCTAACAAAAATATTTGTGTTCTACAAAATGCTCTTGGTAATTTAATGAGCACGTTAGACTTCGAGAACGTAGATCAATTGGAAAATTTTCTAGTGCACCGTATTGATAAATACGTGCCGAAAACTAATCAAATCGTCGTAGACCTTCAATGTCGGCTAATATGGGAGATAGGAGATAAAGAAGGGCTACAGTGGCATGGTAAGTAATTATAAACACATGACTGATAATAATATGTGTTCGCTAGTAGAGTACAGGTATTATAATTTACACTAGAACTTTGTTTCGTTCGATTAGTGCCCAATTAAACACAGAATCCTATAAAAAAATAATAACTAGAAAGGTGGTAGAATTTTATAAATTGTTACATGATTTTTGAAGTTAATTTAGTTTTTCAAAATTCAAATTTCTTTGACAATTTAGAAATAAAAATAATTACTTAAATATTATTGCAAATTTATTAATTTAAAGGTTGGATTTAGAAAGACCTCTCAAATAAAAAAATAATTTAATTCCTCTAAAAACTAATTAAACGGTTTGGTTCGCGCATTATTCTTCCGGTTAGATACTCCTTTCCTGATTTTTGATACAGTTTAAACAAATATAAATCGAATAGAAAACGTTCTGAGCCAAAAAACCCTGAGATCTCCCAAAAAACTCCTGAAATGTGTTGTAGGTAAAATATAATTGATAAGAACTCATTATTAAAAAATAAAATTACCTCTTGTGATCTATTTACTCATCAGATTCATTATTTAACTATTTAGTAAGTATTCGTTATTTTAAGTAATACACGTAAACTTCAAAAGATGTTTCTTGAATCCGTAGTATTTACATAAGATCAAAAAGATTTCATGATGTCGGTTTAATAGTAATAAAAAAAACAGTTCTATTTGGTTGATTTTTATGTCAAATGAGACGAGCTTTTTTGAGGATTAAATAAATTTATTGTTATAACCTATTATTAAAATTGATTCTGCCATTATCTCCAAATTACTGAGCTTGAATAGTTTAAAGAAATAAAGTAAATAGTATTTACCCATAGATGTCAGGCAAACCCTAACAAAAAATAGAACCCATTTATTGTTAAATTTACTATTTGTACAGAACCCTCAACATGCAAGTCTGATTGTCTCTTGGACGGTTTTTTAGTCATCAATGATATGTGTGAATTTATTGTAATTCATTAAAAAATTCAAACTTTATGAATTTTTTACTAAGTTGGAAAACCATTTTTCTTTAAAACCGCGTAATAAACGCACAATAAAAACAAACTAACAAATAAATTAAATAAATATAATCAGACTCAAAGACAAAATAGTATCAAATTTCAATATCCAGCTTCACAATTATATTAAAAAAGGGCGTACGAAAATTGTACATTGTAAAAGTATTGGATAATTCTTTTGTTAACATAGTCACCTATTTATCACTTTTCCCTAAAAAAAAGGACATAATTATAATGATAATCAGAAAATAAATGTATAGAGGTGACATTTTATTTTGGCATTGTTTCTACGTACACAACCAGTTGAAAGTTAGTATAGTTTGGTGTACTCGTCCTCTTAACACAGGAAGTCATTTAACTTGTGACATACCTATTTATAGCCTGTTACGTTGTTTTAATTAGCATTAGTCGCATGTCACTATTGAAATACAACAGTTGAATTATGCGAGCAACAAAAAACATGCGACCCAAATCTGTCTATGACTTGTCACCCTCAAAAAGATACTGAAACAATTAATGACTTTTTTACAATGAATTTTTATTACAACAGATTTTAGATTTAGCAACAGTTTACTTTCTTATTGTGGTTCTTTGTTAGTACTTCGCTCAGACTGTTTATCTTAGTGGTATTCGGCTAAAAATAATCATGGCTACAGTATATTCTCGAATAAACGTTGATATGTTATCGATTACATGTCGATAACTGTTATACGTACCCTTACGGTAAAAATAGGGTCTTAATAGGAATGATGACTAATTTTTGTTTATTTGTCCGTCAGGTAGAGTGTTAAAAAATATTAAACACGTATTTTTTTTCGTAATCATAAAATTACGGCGTTACATGGAGTTGAAATTTCGCATGACGTCACGTTATGGTACGTTTTCTACTCAACTGTGACGTAGCGAGCCCCCACTCCTCAACTTTAATGCCTGTTATCTAAGCTATTTCTTGTTAAATTGAAGTAAAAAAATAATACGTATCTAATATTTTTCTATTATCTGACTGACGGACTAAATAAAATTGCATTTTTTTTACCCAGTCATCATCCCTATTATGTACCTGGTGACCTAATAATGTTAATATAATAATAAGTCAATACCCAGATAAATAAATCAATAGTGAATAATTTTTATTATTTTGTTAATAGAAACAAGAACTATGTCACAAAGATTAGAAATTATAATGATATAATAAATGCCCGTAATAATGTGCATGGGATTATAAATAAAATATTAAAACTATATTTATTAAAAATTCTATCTCTGACAGAATTGTTGAAATAGTCAATGTTATTATAAAATTCATTAATTTTTATTAACACTCCGATAACTATATACGTAATCATTTTTAAAATAGCGAGAGAAAAATAATAAGTTTTCTCCCTTTGCCCACGTTGATAACATAATTTGCAATCTTTTAAATAATGTTAAAGTGAAAAAGTACATAAATTTAGATTAATTTACTTAGATTTATACTAAGTAAGACATGGCGTATTCTGCCAATACGCCATGACCCACTGGGCCTGATGCGCATTGGCGGGTATTAACAAAGGCTTAATTTCCCTTCCAAACACAGAGGAGTTTAAGTTAACAAAATTTTGGTCAACCATCCTTTGACGTCGCATACACATAGAGTTCCTTTTAGTATTAGTATGGATAATGTTCAAGTTGATCCATGGTCATATCGACTCTCCAGAAGTACTTGAGCGCATAAAAAATATTTGCCACGAATTAGCAGTATCTTGAACATCTTTAATGGTTCTGTGACCTCAGCAAAAAAGGCCTTAAAAGATATATTTTTATAAAACCATTAACTTTATTCACATTTCTAAATCTAAATCAAATGCATAAATTTAAATTCGTCATATATTAAATGTCTACAATAGTAAATAATCCATTCCTGTAAGAATATTAACTATCATTACATTAACATACTTTTGTATGTTGTGCTTACATCAAATAGGTTTTAATGTACTTGTACTATTTTTATATATTAATGTGATCATTGTAAACCAGTTTTGTGAGCCTAATAAAAATAATAATAATAAATCAATAAATATTAAATATTTAACAACATCACATACATTGCTCAGATTCCAAGATGAGTAGCTAAAGCCCCCGTATTATGGAGTATCTGAGACAACGAAGTTACCACAACACCCAACCCCGAGTCAATATAGAAAAGTTCATTTTCTACATTGACCCGACCGGGAATCGAGCCCGGGACCTCAGAGATGGCGACACCTTGTAACCGGCGTGCAAACCACTCGACTACAGAGGTCATAATAAAATTACCATCACTCAAAATATCAATAAATAAATATAAATATATCGAAAACGAAAAATCAAAAAAGAAAATGTATCCCATGTGGAATCACTCGTTTCTTCTTCTGTCCGTTTGTTATAGGCTAGACTCTCCAAATCTATATCTGCATCTTTTGGGTTAATAGTTTTGCCAATATGTGGTGTCGTATAAAAATGAATAAGAAATGAATTTAAATTCTCAATTTTCAAATAATTCCCATTTCTTACGCTTGATCTTCAAATTTCGAAAACTTCGTCAGACAGAGTTACATAACAAATCTAAAAGATTTAAAATGGAATAACAACATAATTAATGTAATTATAACATAAAGATAACTTTAATAAATAGCCGGTTACCTGGTTTCCGAGAGTGCTAATTGTGTAATACAATTACAGTTATACTTAGAATTTATTACAAAAGTCTCAAATATGTAAAAAATATATTAATATCAGTGTCTCGTATCAAAATCGCGTGTAACACTGAAGTAAAATTCTGATAAAGTAAGTATTCATCGACTGATCACTACAAAAACCTACTTCTACTCTTAGGAACCTTATAACTTAAGTTTGTGTTACTCCAGATACATAAAATGCCATTTGGTTACGATACGAAACGGCCGAGCTATGTGTTGAATAAGGTGTAGAATTTGCATAGTAAGCTTGTAAGAGTAAGAAGCTTGGCTTTAGATGAGATCCATGAACTGAGATACATGAACTTTTTGACAGAGCCATATGGTCTCGGCTTCCAATCATTTTAAATGTTTTTTTTGATCATCAGTGAGTGAGAGCGTCAGTGACGAAATCGAGATTGTTAGAGATTAGGTTATCTCTAACAATCTCGATTTCGTCACTGATTAGGTTATCTCTAACAATCTCGATTTCGTCACTGACGCTCTCACTCACTGATGATCAAAATTCTTAGGGTTACTTCCTGGAGTCATCTGAATTTAAAATTAATTCATGCCCCTGCCTGTCTTAGACCACAAAGATAGTCAATGGATTAGCTCATTGGTTTCATTTCGTTTTCTCTTTACTTTTGCAGCCTTAAAGCTATTTATTTTTTATTAATAACAATTTAGCGTTGTAACGAGGTGATGTCTCCGTCATCCATTTTCAATCATGTCTTCCATTTTCAACCTATTTTTGTAGAATTTATATATTAACTTGCCAATCTTACAAATGAGTAAATATATAATTATGGATGCAGAATTATGAACCACTAAATACATACTATTTTGAAAAATCTTTCTTCCATTATATCAATAATCAACTGAACAAAAAAACAGCCTAGACGTGGACATTGAGCACAACGTTGACACGGTAAAGTTAAATATTAAACGAAATAAAATCTTTATTACCTTTTGAGACCGTTTTTATTACACAATGTGTGTATTGTGTAATAAAAACCAAAACTAATGACTTAAATAAGTTTCTTTTTGACGGTAAAAAAATTTAAGTTCAATTCTTTGGCCAATAAAAAAAATTTTTAATGAAATAAATTTTGATCTGGTAGAAATAGCAAAACTATAAACATTAAAAAGTTGTGAAAACAAAAAAACATCAGGTAAATCTATATACCAAGTGGTAACCTCTAAACTAAACATAAATCATGGTACCACCGCTTTTTACGTCAGTTTGGACACGTGAGCCGCTTTCATAAATCGGTCAA